CCCCAAAACCCCAAAACCCCAAAACCCCAAAACCCCAAAACCCCTTTTTAATTAAAAATAATAGAATATTTAAAGCATCTGAAAAAAATTCATGAGCGCAACTGATAATAAGTGGAGAACTGCAGACTTTGAAGAAAACTACTCCAGGCAAAGTAAGGAGCAAGACCAAGCCAGCGAGGCTGCCTCCAGAAGATCCGAGTTTGACAATCTCTCTCAGACCGCCATTATTGAGGAGAACCGGGAGAAGATCCGGAAGTTGCAGTTAAAATCGGCTAATTACAAGCAGAAAGAGATTAAGCTCAAGAGAGATAAGGACTATCTCAAGAAGCAGTTGGAGAAGCTCGAGAGCACGGTTGATAAACTCGAAGAACATAGGTGCCAGGACGCAGAAAGCCTACTAGAACAGGAAGAGAGATTATCTGAGCTCAAAGGCAGGTACAGAGCAAGTGAAAACCCAAATGAGATTAAGAAGACCAAGGCTTCCATTACTAAATTCACCAAGGAAGAGAGCAAACTGCTCAAGGAAGCTAAAGGAAAGCTGGAAGTAACATCTAATAATTATTCTGAGCTAGCTCAACTTGTACCTGAAATGTATGAAAACTTAAGAAAGTTGAAATTTTATGGTGATAAACAGATGAATGAGATCTTGTTACGCCAGATCAGCATTTATGTTGACCAGCTCCAGGAGAAAGCTAAGGAATATTCTAAGCAAAAGTTGACAAGTTTGGATGATAACAAAAATCTCCGTATAAAGCTCAAGCAGAAATACGATGAATTTGAGCAGTTGAAGGAAGACACCTTGGAAGATTACAAGCAATTATTCGAGTGTAATAGGAAACTCAACCACTATGAGACTGATTTTATTATCGATAAAGAGGGAATTAACAAAACAACGTAAGCCTAATTTCTGTCACAGTTGCTAAGCCTTTATAGGAACTTGAGCCAATCATTATCTCAGACAGACCACAGCACTACTACTTTCTTGGAGAACCGTGGTGTTGCAGGAGAACAGAACGAGGTTAATAACATCAATCTTGACATCTTGTCTCGTTTGAGGGACAGACTGCAGGAAACCGAGCATAAGGATGATGATATTGTAAAGTTAATTGAGAAGTTACCCATGTAAACCAATCTCAATAATCTCTGCTTGATAAGGGGTTTTGGGGTTTTGGGGTTTTGGGGTTTTGGGGTTTTGGGG